GAAAGGTCACCCTTGCTAGACAGCGACCAACTCATGGAATGTCTTCGGAGGGGGAAAAGGAGACCTGAGTTTTTCGAAGTTCTGGAATCCGAAATGCAGAAGGTGAGTCGGAGATGGGAGGAAGTGAAGGACGAGAGCGCACCAGACGGCATGTGGGAGGCGTGGGGGGATGCGGCTAGGCATGCCTCAGACACCTGCTTCAGGCAGGGCAAGGTTGACTGCGACGAGGCCATCGAGCAAGTGCGGGCCAGGCGCATGTCACTACTAGCGGAACGACGGGAGCTGCGGGAGAAGATGGTGGAATGTGAAGGGGGAGGAGGCGCCTGTGCAGACACAGCAGGAATTATCGGAGATGTCAGTCTTCTTGAAGAAATTGCGGACGGATGCCAGAGACGAGCGCGCCTTGTGCAGGAGATATGGGAAGCCCATCAAAGAAACGATTTCAGCGCCATGCACCGCCTGCGCATACAGTGCAAAAAACGGTCGGGGGGCAAAAAAGAGGTATTATGCAGCGGCACGGACGTATTGGCCAAAAAGTGAGTGCGTGCAAGAACTAGGCATACCACCATGTGAAGGGGGACTGGGGGCCAGGGAGATTGACGTGGCAGAATACGTGCAGGAACAGCAGCAACGACTCAGTGACCAGACGCCATTGCCAGAGGATTTGGAGCTCACGGGTCAAGTCCTCACGGACAAGCGCTGGATGTTGAGGTATTGTAAACGAGCAGCCAAACGTCGAGATTGGCCGAAGTGGGGGATCCCAGTAGAACTCATGTGGATGATCCTGGATCCCACTACCCACCTTGAGCACCCAGAGCTGCTAAGTAGGCAGATTGAAGAGAGGAGGATCAGAGCAGCGGAGAACAGGAAGGATGAGGAGGACTTGAGCAAGTACACATCACTGCATAAATATCGGGTGGGCAGACGGAATTTGAAACGCATCTGATGGAGGAGCGGTGCGAAGTTAGGCAGATCTGAAGAAACACTGGACGGCGCAGAGTTGACACACAATGAGGTTACTCCACACTACGTGGACCGTCCAGCCCAAGCTGGCCTAGGTACGGCGACGGTGAGAAGACAAGCGGAGGGGGGAGGCTTCCTTTTCCAGCGATTTTTGGGCCAGTTGCTTACGAAGATTCGGAGTGCACAGGTGACGCCACTATCCTGGCATAGATCCATTTCGTTCGATGCTGACAAGAACAATGGCAAAGCAGGCATAGGAGGGAAGCGCATCATGCATGCGTACGACTCCATGAGTATGGCGTGGCACTGGGGGATACACAAACGGGGGCCCCAGCCTGACCACCCCCCATGGGCTCAAGGGGGCCTCGCACATAGAAGTAGAGGGAATGCTATATTGCGCCTTCAAGCTACACAATGGAGGGCGGGGGAGGCGGGCGTGCGCATTGTGCGCACCAACTACGATTGTAGCAACGCGTTTGCCAGCACGAAACGAGGACTCTTGGAGGCGACTGCATGGCGGTACGCGACAGAAGCGGATCAGCCTTTCGCCCTAGGAGCGATTTGCAACACCCAGCTGAGCATGCGCTGTGCCGATGATTGGTTGCACGCGGAGACGGCGGAAAGGGGGCTCAGATGGGGTTTACACGGTGCCCACGGCAATTCAATGATGTGTATAACCTGTACGTGGAACAATGGTTGCAGGGGGAACGGAGTAGAGACATTCACCAGACTTGGCACGACACGCACAACCCAGTGACGGGGCGCATGCACGACTTGGCATTGAACACTTTCATGGATGACATTACCAGGACACACACACGATACTTCAGGGAGCTACGGCAGAAGAGGTCACACAGCAGTTGAACGACGCAACCGAGCGGCTAGAAACCACGATCGGGCGCGGAGGTTGGAAGCTTAACCAGGGGAAGACAAATCGCCTCCTGTGCTTGAAAGGCCCACAGAGCTACAGTACTACCCGACAGTTGAGACGATCTAACAAACTGAAAGGAGAAGCTTTGAGAGAAATCCGGGTGCTTGGACCTTTCCTGCCCTCGGACCAAGGACTCGGAGGAGAGATTCAAAAGAGAATCAAGGCCATGCACATTGCGTGGAGACAATGCGGCAGTTTTTGGAGCTCGGACACGCCAGCAGTGATCAAGGGGACGATGTTCATCGCGTTTGTCCTAGGTGCAGGGTTAAGCGGTCTCACGGCCTTTGTCTTAGCAGCATCTCTCACATCAGCTATTGATGCGGTGATTTGCAAGCACCTGCGCAGAATGTCAGGAGGGGAGATGGGCTGGACGACAGAGACAGGGGAAACACGCTGTCATTCGTCTGCGAGGGCCTTTCGGGGATGGAGAATAGAACCAGCTGCAACGGCACTCAGAACAAGACGACTGAAATGGTACAAGAGCTGGGCCCTATACCCCACGGAGCATGCAGGAGTGCTTGCAGCGGTTTTTGGGGACTCGGTACTAGATATTAGAAGGGGAGTGCGCAGGCTACAGGACAACAAATGGGTTTGGCAATTCTCTACCCCCATGGGCCAAGCAGGTAAAGGAGGATTTGGATGCACTGGCCAACGCCGATTTGGATATAAAAAGCTGGTACGACGAGAGGGTTTCAGATTTCGAAATATTCTGCCCAGGGACCACTGCTTGGGAACGTTGGACGGCCACGGACTCCGCTGTATTGAGAAGCATAGGAGTAGCAGAATTGGATGCAGTCAGAGGCAACGGGGGAGAGACGGAGGGCGAGGAAGAGGAGGAGAACGATGTCACAAAGCCGTACTGGTGCGACTGCATGGTACAGACTGCTGGGGGGGCTGCTTTGGTTTGCGGAAAGCGCTTTACTACGCCCCAGGCATTACTAGGACACCGCAGAGTCGCCAGTTTGGTGGCAACAAATCAATGCCCGTGGTGCCTGTCGACCTTCGCAGACAAGAGGACAGCAATCGACCATGCGACCAGAGCGGCCGACGGCCATGGGATTTGCCACCGTGATCGGAGCAAATGGAGCCACCCCATCCAGCCGCCACGGTCCCCCACATGCCGCATCTGTAATCTTGAGGCTCAAACTTTAGAAGAGTTTCACGAGCACGCTCGGTCGCACCACCCTGGACCAACATCAGTGCGGGAACCCAAGCAGAAGGGGGCGCATGGCCATGGCGGACGGAACTACGCTGGCGCACCCGCCCTGGGGCCTGAAGAGGGCCGCCGACTTGCGCCCTCACGACGCCAGCCCACGCGCGGCCAAGGACAGCAAGGGCCAACGGGGCAAGGGCGCAGGTCCAGCGAGCAGCGCAGCCAACGACTACAGAGGACCTCCAGGGGGCCAGCCGCCGCGCCGAGGAGGCGGCCCAAGTGCCAGCCACGACGACAGCCACTCGTTCGCTCAGACGATCACATCGCTGCAGCGCCTGTCGCTGCGGACGGCGCAACGGCACGGGAGCAAGCTCACCTGGCGACGGGCTTCTGGCTGATCCCTGGCTCCTGCTCGCCGTCCAAGGTAGGCCTCGGTGCGGGGCGAGAGTGCGCCACAGAAGTGCGGTCAAAGGGGAAGCATCGCAACCTCGGCCCCCCCCCCCCTCGTCCACGTCGCAGTTGCTACGATTCAGGAGATGCGCAACAATGCCCAGTCCTGTCTGGAGAAGGAAGGCTACCAGAGGGAGATCCAGTGGAGCATGCAGATCCTGAGCCAGTGGCTGCGCTTGGCATTTCACGAGAAGGGAAACGAGTTCATCCTGGAGACCATCAAGATGTTCAAGCTGACGGAGGCGTACAAACCGAAGGGCCAGGAGGACGACGGGGACAGCAAGGTGAAGCTGCAGTATTGCATCAACCCGATGCCGTGCATTCACTTGGCGATGGGGGAGGACTTCATCGAGCACAGGTCAGACGATGGGGGCGAGGCGATGCTGGCGGAGGACGAGGACAAGGACGAGATCAACGAGTACAGCCCGAAGTACATGCGCCAGGCAATGGGCTGCACCTTGAAAATGATGGGGGGGGGGGGGGGGGGGGGGGCAGTGCGGCCAGTCAGCGGGGCCGAAGACGGACTTGGAGCGTACGGTGGAGAAACAGCCCCAGAGCAGGCAATAGCTAGCAGTAGCAGTTGCAGCCTGCCCGAGGCCACGCCTGCGCCAGTCTTGTCCTCTGCTGAGGGATCAGATTCGTCGTCGTGCACCCCAGCGCAGCTTGCTCAGACGCCACAAGTAGCCGAACCCCTGGGGGAGACCCCCCAACTAACAAGGGACGAAAAACTAGCCAATGAGATCAGCCAGGACCCCTCCAGGATGAACAAGTTGAAAAAGTTAACAGAAACAAGCGACAAAAGCCAGCCCAAGAAGCTTTACCAGCTAGCTTTGCAATGCAGACGAGAACGACCAAAACCTTTGAAGTACGAAGCCGAAGGACAAGGAGGCAGAGGAGGACGGGATAGCGGACGAGGAGGCAAATCACGAGGAAACTAGCGGCACGGCGGGCCACTATTGTTTCACCAGAGGGGGGGAACCTACAAACTGGGTTCCAAAGGGATTGCATGTGTTTGTGTTTGTGACGACTCCAATACATCTGAGAAGACGACACCTATCTACAGAGGAAATTTGACGACAGGCTGGGGATGGGGAGGCGCATTGCTGGGAGGAGGGTTGCTGCATCAGGGGTCTGGAGTGGGAGGGGGAGGACATGGAGAAAGAAGTACCTAGGACTGGAGGCGCAGAACAGGGTGGAGTGAATGCAGCACTAGATATTGTACACAGCGGGACAGTGCGCTTGTGCAGGTACCTACGTCGGTGCGCATCGGTATGTCGTAAATTGTTGCGTCTGTTGTTGTTTTTTTGGCTACAAGGGGCCCTGAAGGATTTTACCAGAACTCCAGAGCCCATGGGCCCCTCGCCCGACTACTACGTCCGACTCCAGCGCAGACGGAACAACATTGGGGGTATGTACAACGGGAGGGGCTCCTCCGTAGCACATCTGGCTTAGCACGTGTGCAGAGAGTGGGATCACCGCGGACGGTATCACTTACCAACGGAGGCAGAGCGAACGATGCCAGAGTCTCTGCCGAAGGTGCCTGAGGTGCCCATGTTCCGCGGAGATGCAGAAGACCCAGAGATCGGCGACTTCAATTACGTGCTGAAGCTTCAAGAGAAGAACATAAAAGAGTGCCAGCAAATGATGCAGGACGTCAAAAAGAAGTACGAGACGCAGATCGACTACTTGACGGCGCAGAAGAGAAAGCTCAGCGGCATCTTGCTCAGGTCGCAGATGCTAAGCACGAAGAACACCTTGGAGGCCATCATGATCGGGGAGAACAGGCAGACGCTCGCGGACCAACTGAAGGGCATCGAGGAGGCATTGACCGCCACGCTCCAGGCGCACGGCAGCCTATAGTTTCGCAGCGAGGCCCCACCGAAGTACCCATCGAGCAAGGAGTATATGAAGAAGCAGGTTGACGAGATCAACCACTTGGAAGACCAGGTCACGCCGATCCGCACGCAGCGCGCCATGGAGCTCGCAAAGATCACGCTGGCACCTCCATGGGGCGCAGGGGGCCCGAGCACGTGGGTGTTCTACGGCTGGACGCCTCCGGCAGAGGGCATCCCAGCTTGGAACAAAGACGACCCGAGCACGTGGGTATTCTACGGCTGGAAGGAGAAGCGCCCATGGGTGGACTACCAGAAGGGGCAGGGAAGCGAGAGCAAGGTGCAGAAAGGGGAGATTGCGATCGGCTCGGACGGTGAGGGAGAGATCTAAGACAGATCTAGATCAGGAGGTCGAGGCAGCCACCGCCCGCTCTCAAGGTATTGCTGAGAGGTGCCTTTTTTTTTTCTCGTCAGAAGTTGAGGCTGCGCAGACGAAGAGTACCCCATGAGGACCAGAGGACCAGAGATAAAGAAATAACAAGTCGACGGTTCAGATACACGACGGGCAGTGCTACCAACAACATCCTGGGACCTTTGTGCACGGGCAGAGACGGAACGGACAGAAACAACAGCACCCACTCCAGCTATCGCCCATCCCAGCCCCAGACCTGAGTAGGAGGTAGAGTTTCTTCGATTGATTGGCCCTGTCTGAGGGGGGGAGGGGGGGGGAAAGGGGGGGGGGGGGGGGGGGGGGGGGGCGTGAGCGGCGCCCCGCCTGCGGGGGGCGACGTGGGCGACGAGGGCTACCCGCAGGCGCGCCCCCCCCGTCGCCCCTCTTCGGGCGCGGCGGGAGCCGCCCTCGCCCCCCTCGCCTCTCCTCCTTGGGCGTGTGTGTGTGGTGTGCGTGGTGGAGCGTCGGTGTGTGGTCTCCCCCCTCCTTTCACCGAGCGCGTCACCCCTTGCCCTGGGGCTCAGGGCACGGCTCTCGTGATGAGCCCTGCCCTAGCCCCCCAGCTGTCGAGTGAGGGAAGCACCCAGCTCCCTGCGCGAGGCCCGCCCCCACGAGATTTTCCTGGGGAGTGCGCCTCAGGCAGGCCTAGGCGACCAAGAAATTGGTCCCAGGCCCATGCGTCCATGTTTATCGCAGGGATACCACAAGACCTAGTCCCGCGGTGCCTCGAGCCTGTCGTGGTTAGGATCGAACCCATCCCCGAAGCGCCTTTGCTTTTTTTTGCCTCCTCCTCCTCCTTGCCCTCCTCCTCCTCCTCCGCCTCCGCCTCCTTCTACTCATCCTCCTCTTGGCTCCTATTGGCTCCTATGCCGTCTGTCACCGCTGGCCAGTGGCCTGCAATAAAGCGGCGAAAAGCAGTGTTGGGTAAAGGGATTTGAATTAAGTTCGGGGGGGGGGATCACGCCGCCTTGGACGCCCGGCCCGACCCACCCCAGACCAGGGGAACAGATCTTCCCACGAACTTCTTCGTGCTTGGATCCACCCCTCGCTTCAACATCTTCAAAGACCCCTCTGCGTGGCGGTTGCGCGGACCCCCATGGCATTCGGAGAGGAGGCAGGCACGGGCCCGAGCGCTCCCAAAAGCGCCGCAACGCACACACCAAGCAACCTTCCTTCCCATCAGCCACAGACGGTGGCTTCTATGGCTGGTCCGCACAATCCGTGGCGGTCCACCGCAGGGAAACGCGCAGACTGCGGCACGGGCCTTCCCCCGTTCTCCGCAGTGCAGACACCTATATGATCCTTTAGCTACGCATTCTACCGCATGGCCCTTCGGGTCGGGGACCAGCTCCAAGAGTGAGGGATTGGCCCGACGAGGCCTGCGGATTTTTGAAACATCAGGAAACTCACGGGCCGATAAATCATCCATGATCTGAGCAATCAGCCACGCTGATTGCTTGATGAGGGGCTCCTAGACGAGCCAACTCATCAGCCTTCTTGTTACCTTGCCATCTCCAGTCTTCAACTCCTAGCCTACGGGCCTGGGTCAGGGAGAGGTGAGACTTAATCTTAGTCACAGTGATCCTATCTATGTCGATCTCAGAAGCCAACCTAAAGATCTCCACCCAGAGCTCTGAAAAGGCAACCTTCTCCAGATCCTGCGTGTGCCCCAGCCTCCAAGTGTGCAAGACGGCCTTGCAATATGTGACTATCTCCATGGCCTCTGGCCCTGCAAGCCTCATGGCCATCAACAAAGCAAACACCTCCCCACAGCCACTGGTCTGGACCGCGTGCGGCAAGGGCCCGTGCGCCGATCCAGTCACATATCCACCCCAGGAATCCAAGGACGTCGACACCACAGCCCAACCAGCCCTGGTGAACTGCGGAAGAGCGGGGTCCAGGCCAGACCCGTCCAGGCAAATTCTTGGCTCCAGGTGCCCGCCAGGAGGATAAACACCCCACTTGTGCCCAGCCGCGGCGTGCGGTGCTGGCCATTGCCACTCGGGGCTCGGAGCCAGGGCGCGGGTGACCAACAACCTATTGGCGGGCGTGCTGTCCAAGGCGAGCAGCCCGCCTACGTCGAGGCCACGGCGAACGGCGTCACGGGCTGGACAGCAGCGAAATCTGAGGCTGGGCGTCCCCAGCTTCTCGCCACAAAGCTGGCAGAGAGTGTCCACAACGCGACGGTCATCGAACAAGGTGAGCTGAGTGGGGTACCATCCCGAGACGATCCCAGCGAGCCCCGTAGCAGCCGCGAGCCTTTTCTTGGCACCTGAGCTTCTGGAGGACCTCGATGATGGGCTCCAGCACGGGCCCCCCCGTCAATCCAGGAACCCGCTCCCCATCTCCAAGGCCCCGAAGAAGCATATCCCGAACAGCTTGGTGCAAGACTGACTTCAAGGACCTGTATCCCAGGAAGCTCGCACCAGCTTCGGCACCCCGAACCGTGACAAACTTACACCAGCGTTTCACTTGCCAGCCGAACCTTTCCACTGTAAGAACGACTGCGCCCGCAGGTCCACGGACGTCTTGCCACCCACGAACAGGTCGGCTGCACAACGAATTTAAACACCCCTGCATGATGCACTGCTCCGCCCACGCCAAGCGCGCGGCTTGTCCCCACGCAGGGATGGGCAACGCATGCACGTCGTGCGATGGGTCCGCCTTGGGCTCCACCGATAAGGGAAACTCCAACGCCCTGCACCTTCCCTTGGGCGTTCCGAAAAGGGCACTCCCGAGGCAAGCTCGGAGCTTACCCAGGGCAGAGGTGGACACCCCATTGACACGGCAACCGTACGCGGCCGAGGGGAAGCCTCCCGTGCGAGCGACTTTGAACATCCCTTTCTTGGCATTCCTGAGCCCACGGATCCTTTTACCCCGAAGACGTATCTTGTGGGGGGGCGATTTTGGAGGACCTTTGAACCGTTGGCTCCTTTCTGCATAGTCTGGTCGCAGCCCAAGTTCCTGCCCCAGCTGGCGCCAGTACAATTCCACTTCTTAAGCCTAGCTACGATGGTCACCCTCGCCGCCGAGTGACTGCGCACAACAAGACCTTTAGCCTGAGAGATGACCAGCAGCAGCTTCTCGAGCTGCAGGCGCAGAAGATACGCGGCGCGAGCGAGAACGCTCTCAACATGTTGCCTGTTGCCTGACACTTGGGCCGTGATGTCACCCACCACATTGCACAGCCTAACGCTCCAGTAGAGCTCCCTGGTGAGGTCCAATGGGTCCATGAGCATCACGCGTCGTAAGGTGGTAGCGAACCCACCGCCTGCGAGGATCCTTTGGAGGGCCATCACTGGGGCCCCCACAGCACCACGCACATTGCTGATCCTACGTCCACGGTAAAGCGACAGCAGCAGGCGGAGCTTCGCTATGTTAAACTTGTGTTTGACGGCCGCGACGGCCAACAGGCAATGGCAAAACTTCTCGTAGGCCTTTGTCAAGTCCACGAGGCAGGCGCCTGAGCAGCCTCCTACACTGACGTGCTGCTCAACCGTCAAGCTCTGCTCCCATGCCGCACGTGCACAGCTCTTGCCGTGCACGCCGTACACATAGCCGCGGTTATTATCACGCTCCCAACGCTATCTCCCCCCGCGACAGCTTCGAGAACACCCGCGTGGGTGTGGGCAGCAGAGCTGTCGGGCGAAAACCTCCTTCGGGCTTGGACAGCATGGCAAGGATGGTGGTGGGGGGGGTGGTGGGGTAGGTGCCTAGGTACTCCATGTTGGCCCAGAGCGCTCCAAGAACCTCCAGAAGGCCATCCGAGGCCTTGTCCAGACCCCGCGGCCGAAGGGCGTCAACCCTACAAGCCGTGCGTTTCGGAAGCTTTTTGATGGCCCCGCGGATGTCGACGACCGACCTCCCCTTAGAACACAGCTCCTGGACCGAAACACCTTGCTCAGCAGCCTGGGCCTGGATCTGGTGCGTCAGGTACTGGACAGGGTCGGGGATCTTCGATATCGCTCCAAAACTTGGTAAGCCCGTCCGCGGACTCTTGAGGCCCCAGCGGGACCGAAATTCCTCCAGCCTTGATGGTGCTCGACTCGGGCGGCGCCCAACCGATCGGACCCTGCGAATACTGATGCGCCTTGCCAGCGCCTGCAGGTGCAGCCTCCTGTACCCACTCTCGCCAGCGCTTGCCACGCTCGGAAGTAAACTTGCGCCCCTGCACTCGTGCAAATCCTTCCGCTTCATCTCTCCAAGCCTGCAATTGCTCGAGAGTCGCGCGAAACATGCTGCCAAAAGAGGGCGCCCATTGCTGCCACGAAGCGTCTTTGTGCAACTGCTCCGGCCCCCACTCGACCGACTTCAGTAGCCCCATAGACTCTCCTTCCCCCCAGCGAAGGCACCGCTTTTCAATGTGGACCAACTCCGAGAACAGCTGGGAAATACGACGCCACCCCCTGTTTTCAGGACTCCCGACGGGATGCCGACCACCCCAAGTTCTGACAGCTGAAACCTTGATAGTGGCAGGCTCCTCAGCTCTGCCGAAGTACTTAACTTGATCTAGCACTCCGTGATAGGCCCTAAGCTCTCGCTCCAATCCTTCAACAAAGGCCCTGTAGCACGCATCTAGCGAATCCCGATCCCCAACCGATCTGGCAGATTCAAGAAGTGCCTGATACTCCGGCGGCCCTGGCGCGGGTCCTATCACAACTTCCTGCGGGAACATCCCCGGCAGGCGCAGCGTCTGGACCAAGGCGCTGAGCGGCTCGCCACGGAACTTGACCGCCACGGGCCAGTGCGGCTTGACTGATGCCTTCCTACTACTGGTGCAAGAATGGGCACGGCCTGCAAGACCTGCAGACATCACAACATAATCTATCGCTTCCAGACCTCAGCATTGGACCTGCACGCGTAGGTCGGTGGCTTGACAATCTGTCCCCCAAGACGTCCTGCCCATCCCATGATCTGGAGCAC